TGGCGAGGCCGCGCGGGCGGCGCCCGGCAGCAGCTGGAGGAGCGCTTCGCGGACTTGGCGGCCAGCCACCTGGAGGCCCTCCGCGCGCGGGACGAGCGGGACCGGCAAAACGCGCGGCTGCGGGAGGAGAACGCCCGCCTGCGGCTCGAGAACCGGCGGCTCAAGCGCGAAAACCGCAGCCTCTTCCGTCAGGCCTTGCGGCTCCCCGGAGAGGGCGACGACGGGGTGCCCGCGGAGGCCGCCTCGGGGCCCGAAGCGGCCGGCGTGAACCCCAAGCCGAGAGGAGGCCGCCCTGCCGACCAGCCAGACAGCCCCACGGCCCTGAGGGCCCGACTGGAGAAACTGGAGGCCATGTACCGTCGGGCCCTGCTGCAGCTGCACCATGAACAGCGAGGGCCTGACCCGCGCGGGGACAACGAGGAGCGGCCACTTGGCGAGCTCGGGCCCGGCCTGCCGGCCCTGGAGTCCCCCCAACCCTGGCTGTAGCCCAGGGCCCAGCCAGGAAGGGGCGGGGCTTGGTATGGCCCCGCCTCCTCCGCGGCGGCCCGCCCCAGTCCCCAGCAGGCTGCGCCCTCTGTGGGCCGCTTTCTGCCCACGGAACCTTTGGGCATTGTCTGTCTTCTCCTGCCGGTTCCCCGGACACTTCCGGTAGTTGCTACACGTGGTAGTGACCCCGTGGTCCCTTGGAATCTCGCAAACGCATCACACCTGCCTTCTGCTGCTGTTTTCCTGCAAGAGTGGCCTCGCCGCGGAGGGGCGGCCTTTAAAGACCATGAATTGGGTGCCAGTCAGCGAATACCTCCTGACGCCTGCACTTTTCTAGGTGTTGTGAGGCCCTGTTGTTATTTTTCTCTTTTTTTTTTTTTTTGATAGTTGAATACTTTGGAGTGGATGCAGTTTCCTGTTCCTTCTTCAGTCATCTAAAACCCTTATCTCTTAAGCACTCAACATTTTGTTTTTATAACTATTACTTGGGTTTCTATAAAGTACCACTTTTTATAAAGAAAGTAATATTTATAAATGAAGAACTCATGTCTTTTCTGGACCTTATACGTCTAATATATACTGATTTGTTTACCCCTTAAAGAATCTTTGGAGTATTCTTTGGTCAATAAATACGGTGCATCAAAAAGAATATAAAAGCTGCTCACGACTGTTATTTGAAGTGTAAAATTTTACATGTGTTTCTTTACATGCGTTTCTTCTCCTACAATAGAACATTGGGTGGATTCGAACCTGTTACCTCAGGGATTGCAGTGTGGCTTCCTGCCACTACCAGAACTCCCTACATGCTCTTATTTAAGAGATACCCATCATGTATCTTAACATTTTAATATCTAGATTTGGTTATCCTTTGTGAACTATCATCTTGCTTTACATAACTGGTCTTTTTAAAATTTAAAGATGAAAAATCAAACACTTCCATGTTCAGTACATTTTATAAAAAGCTTCGTGCAAGCTGATTTTCCTTATTTTGACTTTTTAGGATCTTCTAAGAAATTAAAAGTTAATTGCTTATCAACATTAAGTGGATCAACACTCATTTGTGATTTCAAGGACACGGAAAAAATGTTACACAGTCAATTCATCACAATTTGTCAATAAGGCTTTTATGTGAAAATGCCATTTTTCCAGATAAAACATCATGTCAGAGAATGGTTAAGTATTGGTAATCAGTTAATGGGGGGAAAAATATTGAGTACAGTTTTTGTTGAGTGAATGGAATGCACTCTTCATGGATCATTTCAGAAGTTTCAATATACAACATCTATTTTTTAGTATCATCCCGAATTTTGAAGACACTGTAAAAATGAGAAGAAACCTTAGGAAAATTGATACATATATGGAAATTCTTCATTTTTTTCAGTGAAAGAAAACATTTCTATTAGGAAGGAATAAATAGATAACACAAGTTTGAAAATGAGTTGGAAGGACTATATATAGCCACACTCAGGCATTGGCCCTGCGTCTCCCTCTGTGCTCTGGTAGTGTAGTCCCTAGGCTTACCTCGCTAACCCAAAGACCACACCTGTCTAGCCATTCACCAAGCAATGAGTTTGAGGGTTTGTTTTGTTTTTTTTTTTAATTTCTTTTGTTTTTGGCTGCTCTTTATATTTTGGAGCTTACACTGTCAATATATCTAGGCCTTATCAGAAAAATGAAGAAAATCTTCAAAGTACAACTGTCAGTTGAAATCACTTCTCTCATACTTTGGACTTGTTGCTTGTAACTAGAAGCTATTCCTTGGAAAGGGATGGCATGCTTGGAAAGATGGAAGATCAGGGGAAGAAAGGAAGATCCCCAGTGAGACTGACTTAACATATTGACTGCAGCAGTGGGCTCAAATGTGTCAGAGATGATGAGAATGGCATAGGATAGGCCAAGGTTCAAGTCTGTTGTTCATAGGATCACTATGAGTTGTACTTAACAGCACCTACCAAAAATAAGAGCCTGCAAAATACTGCTTCAGAGTGTTCTGCCAATGAGAATTACTATCTGAAATGTGAATATTGTGACTATTTGAAGTTCCCCTTGCTTTCTATCTTCTTACACTCAACTGACTATGCTAACAGAGCTCCTTCACTTGCATCAGAAATATTTTCTATCATCTATAGACATTTTTTAATAGGCATTTTTATGTACAGAATCAGCAGTGGAAGATATTTGTCAGTGGCACTTACTATCAATTTAGTAAATATCCTGACACTCACTCATTGCTTTTAAATTATAGTCAACTGAAAGAAACTCCATTGGGTTTACAAGGCTGAAAATCACATAGTAGGAGATTGCCTATCCATATCATATATTAGACAAAAAGATAGAGCACTCTAATGAATGCCTAAATATGAGTCCTACAAATGTAATGGTGGAGAGAAAACAGATACAAGAGAAAAGAAACTATTTTATTTATATAAAGTATAAAAACAGGTAAAATAATAAATTAAGTCAGGGTAGAGTATATTAACTGACAAAGTTAACAATAACAGGAAGTATAAGAAGAGCTTTCAGAAATATCTATAACCTACAGGAAGACGTAGAATGTTTTGATATGCTATGCTTGAGAGAGTTGAACAATGACTAAGACAGAAAAAGGATAGATGCCTTCAAGTTGTGGTGCTGAAGAAGAGTCTTGAATATACCTCGGACTGCCAAGAAAACAAATAGGTCTGTCTTGGAGAGGGTGAAACCAAATCTGTCCTTGGAGGCTAGGGTTTTTGGAAGCTCTTCCTTACTTACTTTGGACATGTGGCCAGGATGGTCCTTGGAAAAGGACATCACGCTTGGAAGGGTTGATGGACAGCATAGGAGAGGGAGACCCTGGATGAGATAGATACAATAACTGGGGTGATAAAGGTTGGTGTGTCATTATCAGTGAAATTGGCTCAGAATAGAGCAGCCTCAGAGCTGCTATACATTGGGTGACTAAGGGTTGCAGGTGAATCAATGGCACACAACAATTATATCCTAAAGAGATGTTACTGGTGGTTTAAATAATTACATTTGAAAGATGTCCTAAAAATCTAGAAAATAATATTGTTTATCTTTATGACCTCTGGTAATAAAATATTTTTAAACAATGTAGTCTCAAATGTCTATCTGTGTTTCATTGATTATGCAAAGGCGTTTGACTGTGTGGATCATAACTAACTGTGGTTGACTCTGAGAAGAATGGGAATCTAAGAACATCTAATCGTGCTAATGCGAAACCTATACTTGGACCAAGAAGCAGTCGGAAGGGTGTACGCCAGGGATGTGTCCTGTTTCCATACCTTTTCAACCTGTATGCAGAGCAGATTATCTGGGAGGCTGGGCTCTATGAGGAGAATTGTGACATCAGGATTGGTGGAAGATTCATCAATAATCTACGTTATGCAGATGACACAACCCTGCTTGCTGAAACTGAGGAGGACCTCATGCACTTGCTGCAGAGGGTCAAGGACTGCAGCCTTCAGTATGGACTGAGGCTCAGTGTCAAGAAGACAAAGATTCTCACCACTGGACCAGTTGGTAGCATCAGGATGGATGGCGAAGAGATTGAGATTGTTCACAGCTTCAGTTTGCTCGGCTCCACGGTCAACACCAGCAGCCAAGAAATAAAAAAACGTATTGTGATGGGGAAAGTCTGCTGTTAGGGACCTCTCTAAAGTACTCAAGAGCAACAGTGTCTCTCTGGAGACTAAGGTGTGCCTGATACAGGCCATGGTCTTTGCAATCGCTTGTTATGCATCAGAGAGTTGGACAATGACTAGGGAAGACAGAAGGAGAATTGATGCCTTTGAGCTGTGGTGCTGGAGAAGAGTATTGAATGTACCATGGACTGCCAAGAAAACAAACAGATTCATCCTGGAGAGGATTAAACCAAGCAACTCCTTGGAGGCAAGGATTCTGGGGCTTCGTCTGACATCTTTGGGCATGTTGCAAGGAGGGACAGGTCCTTGGAGAGGGACATCATGCTTGGGAGGGTGGAGGGACCGTGCAGAAGGGGAAGACTCTCTATGAGATGGATTGATTCAGTGATTGGAGTAATTGGGATGGGAGTGTCAGTGGCAGTGCGATTGGCACAGGATAGAGCAGGGTTTAGGGCTGTTGTACATAGGATCGCTATGAGTCGCAAATGACTCGACGGCACATAACAACAACAACAACAGTCTCAAACAGCAAATTATTAAATGAGTTATTAGTATAAGAAATGGATTTTTAAAAGCCAGTAAAAAGAGGATAGAAAAATATAATATTCATTATAATGAAATAATTGAAAAATACAAATAAGGTTTGATGTCTAAATTTATTGAGAATTCCTAGATTAAGACAGGAAAAAAAATCATTCTAATACAGGAAAAAGCCAAAAAGAGTAATTGTTCTTGTTAGGTTCTTTTCCAATGAACTATGACTCAAAATGACCCTGTGAAGAACATATTAAAAGGTTAATACAGTTTTTTTTAACGTTAAAAAAAATGTTATTTTTTGTTTGTGTACGGTCAAATCAGACCTGACTTACTAGTCAGGAGACTAGTCCCTCCTTCTCCAGCAGAGCATCTGGTGGATTCAAACCACATAGCTCTGGAATTGCAGTGCAGCTTCTTGCCGCTAGGCCACCAGAGCTCCCTAGAAGATTAATAAGTTTTCATATTAGAAAATGGTCAACCCAAAGGCAAATGTTTCAAATCTGTAAGCTGCTCCTAGGGAGAAAATGTGTAACTCCCTCCTATATGATTTACAGTCTTTGAAAACCCTTGGAGGATCAGCTATACATTAGAAAAATCTTGAATGGTTTTTTCTCCCTAATGTGTGAATTCCAACTGATAGTGATTCTCCATTGAACTTCCTGGGCTGTAAACCTTACTGGGAGCAGACTGGCCATCTTGACCTTTCCATTAACAACACAGCCCATAATCCACTTGTCCAGTAAGTCTTCTTCTACAAACATATGAAAAGACACAAATTAGTAGTAATATAAGGTGATTCTTAAGTGTTCAATCCTGTCA